CGTGGGCTACAACCCACTTCTTCGAAGAAGTGGGTTGTAGCCCACGAAAGCTTATGCTCTAATAAATTTGTTGGTCTCTAAGGTGCCACAAGTACTCCTGTTATTTTATTAAAAAGACTGGGACTGTTCAACTTAGAAAGGAGACGACCAAGGGAGGATCTGATAGGGGTCTATACAATCATGAATGATATGGAGAAAGTGAATAGGGAAGTGTTAGTTACCCCTTCACATAACACAAGAACCATGGGTAACCCAATGAAATTAACAGGCAGTAGGTTTAAAACTAACAGAAGGAAGTACTTCTTCATACAATGCACAGTCAACCTATGGAACTCATTACCAGAGGATGTTGTGAAGGCAAAAACTATAACTGGGTTAAAAAAATCAGATAAATTAATGGAGAATAGGTCCATCAATGGCTATTAGCCATTGGTCAGGGAACAACCCCAAGGTCCAGGTGTCTCTAAACCTTCAACTGCCAGAAGCTGGGACTGGAGTACAGGGATGGATCACTCGAAATTGCCCTGTTCTGTTCATTTCCTCTGAAGCATGTGGCAATGGCCACTGTTAGAAGACAGGATACTGGGCTAAATGGACGATTAGTCTGACCCAGTCTGGCTGTTCATATGAGATCCAGGCTCAAGTCCCTGCTCTGCCTTGGAGCAGAGACTTGAACCTGGGTTTCCCCACACCAGGTGAGTGCCCCAACCACTAGGCTGTAGAGTCTCTTTCTTCTATGTCCAGTTCTATGGAACTGGATGGAATCACTTTTCAGAGCAGAGCTGCACTATAAGCTGCCCATGAATTTATTAACTGAGCTCAATCCAGCCTTTTCACTTGCTTACCAGAAATTTTTTAAAAAGTACTTTACCTCTCCCTTCCATCTGTAAAATGGGGATAAGAATACTTACTTTTTTTTTTGTAAAGTGCTTTGAGATCTAATGATGAAAAGTGCTACATAAGCACTTGGCGGTGATGTCATTATTATTACTTTCATGACAGACTTAACTTGACCTGTACCTTCAAATGTTTGCTATAAAAAGGTGCATCAATTGTAGAGAAATCTTTCTATGAATCACTTATTGGTCAAATGCTACCTTATTTATATGAATTTGACCATGGTGGCTTGTCCTTAATTCATTAGAATATAGCACAAATTGCAAGTGAAAATGAGCTTTGTGGTGTCATCCCCTTTATGTACACATCAGAAAAGCACCATACCATGTTCTGTCATAGCAATCTTTCTTTAAACAGAACTCTTAGTCGCAGTGCAGGGACTGCCTGTCCACAATGAACTTTGCTCAAGTCCCTTTTTAAGAGTCCCTTACTTCAGTGAGCATCAGATTAATAGATATAAAATTATTAGAAATATGAATAAGCCCATATGTATTTTTATGGTTTGTATAGTCTAAAAATGATCAGCCCACTCTAATCCTTGGGAATAACCTCAGCATCATTTAGATGGCCTGACTTGAAATTCATTGGTGCATGGAACAGATAGTTAATATCCTTAGAACATTTCTGAATATTAAGGATTTCCTCACAAGATTGAATATATTGATGGCACCAATCCTGCCAAGCACCTCCGCACATGCTTAACTTGAATCACATGTTGGTTACAAGTCAGTGAAATTACTTCCTCGCTTACATTTAAGCACTGTTTTCTATATATATTTTGGTAAAACATTGCCATGTTAAAAAAAAAATCAAAATCACTAACCTCTGTCTTTCTCTTTTATCTTTCAGATGCAATAACACATGTTAATTATCTCTTTTTAACATTTTTTGTTTAGATATCTTTCTCTTTCCCAGTGTTTGCCACTCCAATAAACAGCAGCATTACTGCTCCCAAACAGGGGTACCAGGGAGTGGTGCTGGAACAATGGGTATAGTGGGGGTGCTTAGAGCCATTGAACCAAACTGTAAACCCTGTATATGATGGAAACCACTTCAAGCCAGGGGCTGCGGCCGCACCCCGACACCTCTAGTTCAGCATCTATAGCTCCAGGTTCAGGAGTCACTGACAGAACTAAGTTGTACCACACGGTGTAAACTAAAGAGAGATGATGGAGCCTCTTGCGCTAGGCATTCTACCCTACTGGCCAGAGGGGAGTGGCTGTGAGCGATAAAAGCAAAAGTGTCAGGGAAAACTGAAAGAGAGAAATGACTGAATTGATGGGTTTTAGATATGTTGAGGAGTTTGAGCGCCCCCTATTGATTAAAAAATAGATTACAAGATTTTAAAGTATCCTCACAGTTTCCACAAACCTGCACTACTCTTGGATCAGATTTTTGAAGGCTGATCATTATTCTAGCAAAAAAAATATATATATAAAAACTATTTGCCAGAAATCTTTTGCCCAGCTCTAATTATAAATATCCCTCTTCTTAACAATAATAAAATACATTCATTGGATGAATTTCTTTCAAGAGCCAACGGACACACAAAAGAAAATAAAACATTTTAGCCAACATCTTCTCACGGTACTGAGAGATGTCATTTAAAATGTTAAACAGGGCCTAGCAGAAAGGAGTCCTGGTCTATGACTGAGGGTCCTAGGTGCTATAGCAGCACAAAAAAACCCAATAATAATTGATCCACATGAATATTCATTTGAATACTCATATTGCTTTAAATGGGACTATTGAGGATAGGAGAATTATTTTTGGAAATGTACAGCTGGAAGGGATTTCGAGAGGCCCTCTAGTATATACCCTCTGCACTAAGGCAAGATTAAGTATACCTAGACCATTCCTGAGAGATATCCATCTAATCCACTCCTCAAAGCCTCCAATGGTAGGGATTCACATGCGTGCATGTTTACATGATTGGGTCCTAAAACATAACCATTGTATTTCTTAACACTGTTGTTTCCTTCCTCTTCTTCATTGCAGTAATTATATGCAGACAGCTAAATTTTTATCAGCTTTGTAAATTAGACAATTGGTTAGAAATATAGTTATGTGTTATTTGCACAATGGGTGCCTGCTTTGTATTCTTTAGTATCATGATTTGCCAGCCAGACCGCCTGCCATCTCTTTCCCCATCTCTCCATCCACTGACCTACTTATCCCTTTCTAATTTTCATCCATTCTTTCTCTCTCTTCTGTACTCATTCAATTATACTATCAATTTAGTTTTATGATTTATTGGCATTTTCGTGGATATGGCATATTATTCAAAAACTATATATGTCTCTATTAAAGATGTTGTCGATTTGTATTAATAGGTTATACTACTACTCCAACGTGGCTGCCTTCAACAGGTAATTCAGAATTATTTTACTTCTTTATTTGTATGTTGTAGTCTTCTCTATTCACTTATTATAATACACAAATTATTCATATATTAATAGCATCAGATTCCTTAGACAGGAAATAAGGACGGCATGGTGATAAACCTTTTGCAAGCTGTCTTCAGGCTGAAGGCAATACATTTTTTGAATATCAACTTTTTCTTTCTTTTGGCAACTAGCATTTCTAAATAGGGATAGAGTAGTACAGTACGATACTATATTTCGGTATTTTTACTTTAAAGGAAACACTTAAGCCCCAATAATGCGCAAACGTATGTTTGTGCTTAACTTGGCTAATGTGACTGGTCCCCACGGCTTGAATGAAACTGTTTATGTCAGTAGAAATAAGCATGTACATGAATGTTTGCAGATTGGGGCAATAGGTGGATCAAATAAAACAGACCTCTTAATGGTTTCATGCCCTCTTGAACTCACTCTTCAAAGTTCTTTTCAACTTTCCCTTACGGTACTTGTTGACTATCGGTCTCATGCCAGTATTTAGCCTTAGATGAAGTTTACCACCAGCTTTGGGCTGCATTCCCAAGCAACCCGACTCCAAGAAGACCTGGTGCCGGGGGCCGCTACCGGCCTCACACCATCCATGGGCTGTGCCTCGATCAGAAGGACTTGGGCCCCCGAGAGCAGCACCGGGACAAATAAAACAGAGTTACCAGTCAACAAATACATGCAATTAAACTCAGTTTCTGTGTGCTTCACAGGAGGAAAAATAAAAATCCAATATTTTTTTCTATGCATCGCTCAACAAGATAATGAAAGTCCTTGTTGTTTTCCCCTTTTTTGTATAAGCAGGGCAGGGGTGGTGCCCCTAGCCTCTGTTTTCCAGAAGATGGGAATGGGCGACAAGGAATGGATCACTTGATGATTACCTGTTCCGTTCATTCCCTCTGGGGCACCTGGCATTGGCCACTGTTGGAAGACAGGATACTGGACTAGATGGACCTTTGGTCTGACCCAGTCTGGCCGTTCTTATGTTCTTAAGCCATGTGTCAATTAAAGCTCTGCATTAAGTAAAAATTGTTACATTCCAAAGTTGGCAGTAGGTGCTATTTTCATTCAGACTATAAATTTTTGTTCCCAGTGCACCAGGTGCTACTTCAAAAAGTTACTTCCAACCTGAATTAAGAACATAACATTATCGGAGAAAAAAAGCATAATCTTTCTTCCCTGAACATTTTCTTTGGCCCATATTTTCTGTCTTCAATTATATAGATTTAGGGCTTAATCTTGAGAGTATTAAATGAAACTGAATGGGCTCCACACCTCTCAGGATTAGATTCTGATCATAGAACACCTCATTGAAGTTTCCTTGAACTTCAGCAGGTTTTGGCTTCGACTGATAAATCATATACAAATATATGCAAAAGTATATATAAATGACTCATATGTATTTTCTTTTCTTACATTTTATTCTGCAGCAAAATATACTTGTGGTGGTGTCCTTCAGTATTCATCGGGGACATTTCAAAGCCCGTTCTATCCTGGGAATTATCCAAACAATGCAGATTGTGTGTGGGAAATAGAAGCAGTGAGCAATTACCGTGTAACACTTTCATTTAGCAATATAGCGTAAGTAAGGCACTAATTTCCCAGGCAATTCATGGGTTCAAAATCATGGAATTTTGAAACTGGTACCCTCTCCATTTCAAGGACATTTCTCAAAAGGGCTTAACACTTGTAAATGACCAGTAAACCTAAAATGAAAATTGTATGAATATAGTTTTATTTGTGGTTATTTGTTCAGTCCTGGTGGTACCACATAGGAAGCAAAATGAAGACAATCTGTCACAAACACCTTGCAGACTGAAGGGTTTAATTTGAGATTTTGTGGTGACTAGTTAAACAGGAGTTCACAAAATAGTTTACAAAATGTTCGTGTTTATTCCCCAGGACAGAAGGTGGTACATGCCGGTATGATTATATTGAGATATATGATGGGCCACTCTATACCTCTCCTTTACTGGGGAAAATTTGTTATGGTTCCTATCTCACATATACATCGTCCTCAAACTTGATGACAGTTCGATTTCACAGTGACTCGAGTATAACAAACAGAGGGTTCCGTGCTGCCTATTACACCATTCCAGCAGATCAGAATACTAGTAAGTTCATGTTTAATACAGAACTTCGCTTTTCAGCAGACAAGCCTATTTACTGATTTTATTTGTTAAATAACTAATTATTAATGTTGCTGAACCACTTCAGTATAGCAAGCACTCACTGTCATCTTTCATACTGTGGGATTATTGAACTATTACTTTCAATGTTTGTTAATATCAAAGTAATTATTTTTAGACATTTTCTCTGATATTCAGCCTTAATTTACTTTTTCTTTACATCGTCTCATTACTCTTACTTATGGCCCTTTGTACAACCTAATTGTTCATTCTCTCTGGGTTTGATCCTAGTCCTGATGCAGGCAAAACTCTCATTGCAAGCACTCCTCTTTATATAGCGTGAGTGAATTTCATGTCCTCTCCCCAACTCATTAGTTATTATTTATTTGAGCTCAATGTTTAGCACTTTGCTGGTACATGTTTAGTATTAGAATTATTTATATTTAGAATCATTCTCTCCACTTCCTTTTGCATTTGTGATGCTCTTCCTTGAATTCCCTGCAATTTGTCCATGTCTTCAGCTACACAGGTGCCCACAAGTGAACTAGAACACCTTTCACAGCCATACAAAGCCTGATCCTTAAGCACTCATTCAGGCAAGACTCCTATTGTTTTCAATGTGCATTTTGCCCAAGTAAAGACCACAGGATCCAGTCCCCAATGAGTGACTATCACTTTGATGTTATTCAGCCTCTGCACATGTAGCTCCAAACCCCATATGGCAGATGTAAGGCCATACATGCAAACCCTTGATTCAGCAACCCTTGATCGTATTGAATAGAACATAACTGGTTAGTTCCATTGGCTGATCAGTATAATTCAAGATAGCAAAATCTGGTCCATAAATTGCTGTCAACAAACACACCAATTTCTCTTTACTTTACTGTTACCTTTGTCTTCACCTCCCATTGCATTTTAGATCATTCTTTCCCAGAAGTACTGAAACGCTTCATTTTATTTGCTTAATAATGGCCCTGCTAATACTGTTCTTAATTTTACTCAAGCAAAATTCCAAGCAACGTCAATAGGACTTTTACTTGACTCACAAATTTTTTCTACTATGGTAACTGTGATTCATTGATGAGACTCTCTCTGATCACAGAAAGAGAAGTTATAATTTACAGATTTTCATAGTAATAGTAATCCACAGCCAAAACCCACAGGGCCCTGGTGCATCATTCAATATTTAAGACGTAAGATAGTAAAATCATGTGGTTTGGCTTATGTTGAACCCCTTCCCCTCTCCCAACCTACACACAGAGTAGATAACAGCATATGTATAGGTTGCAACATTTAATTATGATTGTATGCCTGTACGCACTAATAATGTATGTTTTATCCACCCACTAGCTCTTCTGTGCTTGCCAGAACACATGCATGCAGTTGTTAACAGAGCCTATCTCCGCTCACATGGTTACAATGCATGGGATGTCAGCTTGAATGACCCTTATTGTAGACCAAACATTACATCAAACTATGTTATATTCAACATCCCATACAATGGCTGTGGGACAAGACGAGAGGTATGAAGTTGAATTTTTAGCAACCTGTGTAAGTAGGTCTGTCCAAACTGCAAAATTTATTTTGAAAAGGGTCATGAACAGAAATCTGCTGTGGTTCACAGGTGTTAGAAGTGAACCAACGACTGCAGGTTCAGATTCACTTTACACTCTCCCCTGTCCTTCCCTTGCCTGCAGGGAACACATCACTTATTGTAGATTGACTTTATGGGGAATATTGGGGGACAGGGAAGATACGTGAACAACCTCAACCCATGTTCATAGACTTTTTTCTAGCATGAGCTGATGTTCATGAATAGTAATAATACTTGGCACTTACATAAGCCACAGTTCAGCAAGGTACCAATTTAAAGCATTCACTTCTATAGTACTTTAGATTAAACACAACTCTAAGTACCTTGCTGAATCAGGACCTTTGTGCATTACATATTCAAAGCTTTGCATGAATGTAAACTAACTTGGCTGTGTTTGGGTTCAAAGAAAATATTTTTCACATCTCAGTGTAATCACTGTATCATACAGCCAACAAAGTTTTTTAAAATTGGTCATTTCTATTCACAACACAAGTCACACTTCTTTTCAAAATACTGAAACAACGCTTTTTAAATGTGTGTTATTCTATGGGCGCATCAAAAGTTTAGTAAGTATAATGGTAATTGTAACCTCAGGCAAAAGCATGACAACATTAGATAATTGTGTATTTAATGTGTCAAACAGGGAAACAACAACACTATCATCTATTCCAACTTGATCAAAGCAATCTCTTCTGGTTACATAATCAAAAGGCAAAAAGATCTTCACTTGCATATCAATTGCAAAATGCTCCAAAATAGATGGATAGAAATAATGTATGTTGCTGAGGATGTTACTGAAGTCAATGAAACTCAGTACGGCAGATACAACGTGACCATTTCATTTTATAAATCACCATCCTTCTCATGGCCAGTGTATGACTCTCCATACTACGTTGACTTGAACCAGAATTTATTCCTTCAAGCTTCAATTCACAGCTCTGACCCAAATCTGGTCTTGTTTTTGGACACGTGTGTTGCATCACCCGATCCCAATGATTTTACAACAGTAACCTATGACATTATCAGGAGCGGGTAAGGACTTTCCCAGAGATGGTTTACAATGAAACTGTGCATGAAATATTGTCTCTGTTTTGTTTATGCAATAATTTGAATGGGGCCAGTGTGAAGTAATTTCAGTTTTCCTTGCCACTAAACTAATTAAAGAAAAAACTTGTTTGGCAAAAAATGAAAAATCAATAGAAACAATAGAAATGACATTTAGATGATGCAACTCTGTATCAGTGATTCCATTCAAGGATGTAACATAGTAACTAAAGAGGTAAATTCAATTCTGATGTAAACAGGTGTAACCCCAACCTCCGCTGATGTCAGTGAATTTTCACCTGCCCACATCAAAATTGAGTTCAGCCCAAATAGTTTGTCTATAGAATTCAACTGTATTTTAAAAATATTCTGCTCCATTTTTAAAGAAAACAAAATCATTCTTTTGTAGTCCTATTTTTTTTTTTTTTGGAGCATACTGGAAATGTTATTTCAAATTTCTGTAATTCAATGTTTGGGTCAAATGACTGAAGTTTGATTTTTCCTGCTTTTCTGTACTTTTCCTACTTTTTTTAATCCTTTCAGTTTCCTTTCATGAGTGTTCTGTGTTTTGCAAGTGACACTTAAGAATTTTAATGTCACTCAGGTGACCCAGAATTGTTCATCTGGCCATTTCTTGTGGAAAAGTCAGATAAAAGAATTATTGAAAAATTAGATCCTTAGATCTGGTAAGAAAATAAAAATCACTGATCTCATCCAGATAGCCATTCCTATGTTTCTAAGCTTTACCTGCCAGAATTTCAGTAGATTTCTCCATTGTTAGACTCTACACCTTTCTGGGTATGAAAGTACAAGTCTTTCATGAGCAGGTCCCATGGTCAATGACTATTTATTGGTGCAATCCTAATTATATATAAATAATGGGGAATAAGAGTGAAATTTCAAACTAATTCAGCTAGGGTAGCATTAGAGCTGCAGGACATACAGAAGTTAAGTTTTAAAGAAGCCACCTGCATGATAGTTTAAAAACCCCTATCTATTGCACAGGGCCGGCTCCAGGCACCAGCCGAGTAAGCTGGTGCTTGGGGCGGCAGCTTGTAGGAGGCGGCATTCCGCCCAATCCTAGGGGGACACGGCCGCTTTTTTTGCTTTGCTGTTCTGGCTGCCGCGGTTTTTGTTTTTTTTTTTTTTTGCTTGGGGCGGCCAGAAAGCCAGAGCCAGCCCTGCTATTACAGGAGATGAAAATTAGATATTCAAAACAGCCCTTTTAAGAAATGATCTGATAAAAATCATACAATGAAGAGACAGCCAAATCTTTTAAACCTCATATTTATTTAAATTAAAACCCAAAAGGAAATAAATTTTCCATATCTAATTTTCAAACATATCTTAACCATCTATAGGTGAGAGAAGTGTTGGCATGAATATACAACAACATAGTAACATATGCAGTCTTAATAATCTCAGTTTATACAAGTTTAATACCTTGTGATCTTTCTTATGCTTATGAGTTTATTAAAATTTGTATAAAAGACATTGAGGATATGACAACTCTGCAGCTTATTCTGAGAGAATTGCTGCGTATTAACAGATAAGTTGAGTTCCTTTTCGTGGTGGTTAAATTGAACCAGAATGCACTGGCATGGAATTTTGGCACTTACTAAGGGGAGTCAGTGCTGACAAGAAAGTGAAACATACTAGAATCTTGTTCTGTGAAGCTCCTCTGCCGCTGACTTACTAGAGATTAGAGTCATTGGAAATGTTGACTTTCTTGCTTCTTGCATCCAAAGCAGAAATCAGAAGAGTGGGAGTGAGTTGGATAAGATGGCACAGAACGGAAGAAGGAATTTATCATCCTTATTATTCATATCCAGTAGCACCTAGAGAACCCAATCAGACATCAGGGCCCCATTGTGCAAGGAGCTGTATAACCATTTAGTAAAGAGACGGAACCTGCCCTTCAGAGTAGAGCTGATAGAAAAAATTGTGACTAAAATGTTTCCTGTCAAAAAAACAGCTGTTCAAAGCTGAAGAGTTTTATGGAGATGTATCAGTTCTGACAGAACTGTCATTGGGAAGGGTTTCCTCAGGTGAGACGAAGAGAGAGACCTAGGCCAAGTGGTTAGGTTGCCTGGGCTGTGGGAAACCCAGGTCCAAATCCCTGCTCTGAATCAGGCAGAGCAGAGACTTGACCCTGGGTCTCCCATCTCCTGGGTAACAGCCCTGGCTATTCTGCGCTGGTACTCTCTCTCATATGGTTTTTTCATGAAAAATGAGATTTCAATTTTTTTTATCTGCATTGGAACAAAAACAAATTTCAAAATTATGTATGAAATGGAATTGTTGTTTTCTGGCCAGCCTCACTTAAGAGCTTAAATTGTGGTTTCATTTCCCCCTTAATAATAAAAATAAGCCCTGTTTGCTTCAGCTGTTCTACAGAAGTCATACACATTGCAGCCTGGAGATATAAGTAAGCAGCTCTGGGCTCTTTTCAATGATTAGTTGCCAGGACACCTCCAGGGGACCTCTTTGCAACTTGTCAGTTCTGGGCCCTGATCCTACAAAGACTTACGCACAAGTTTAACTTTACGCATGCGAGTTCAGTAAAACTACTCACACTCTTAGAGTTAGGCATGTATGTAAATACCTTGCTGAATTAGGAAAAAACAATATTGTATATTTTGCTTTCAGAGAAGTCACTGCCACTATTTTAACCTTTCATTTTCTATTCTTAATATAATTATATGTTTTTCTCCCTTTCTGTTGTCAATGCATTTTTAATGTTTATCTTTGCACATAGGGCATGCTTGATGCCCGTGATTGATTTTTGTGTGTATGCATGAAGACTAATTGTATTTTATTTATTTATTTTAGGTGTGTTAGAGATCCAACCTACGGTACATACTATTCACCCTACAGCTCCACCATACGCTTCAAATTTAATGCCTTCAAGTTTATTAACAAACATACATCAGTTTACCTGCAGTTTAAAATGGTGGTGTGCAGGGTATATGACTATTCTTCCCGATGCTACCAGGGCTGCATACCCAGGTCCAAGAGAGATACAAGCTCTTACCAAGAAGAAGTGGATGTTGTTGTTGGGCCAGTTCAGCTTCGGAAAGATGGCACTAAGAACAGGAATGCTGGTAAATTTAAATAACCTTCTCTTGTGTTTAGTGTAAGCGTGACTATGGTCACTGGGGGGCCACACTAAGAATGCTCAATCAGGACAAACCGCAAAGAATAGGGCAGACAATCCCCCAAACTGGTGGTTTATTCCTATAATTAGATTCACCAAGCCAGTAACAAAACCGCTTCTGTACTACCTACCAAGAAGCTAAACTACAGTTTCTTTTAAGCAATCCAGCATTTGTCTCCCACCCGGAGAGCCAAGTCTATATAGTGAGAGTTACTTTAAACCTTATTCACTATAAAGTTCTACCAATCAAAAGAAATCGGTAGAACTTCATTGACATGACCATTACCTACCATGTCAATATTTCAGATCTGACCCAAATAAACGCTTACAGCCAATTCTTATTAACTAAAGTAAGATTTATTAAAGAAAATAAAGTTACTGTGGTTAAAGATCATTATACATACAGATATGAGTAAAGTTCTTAGGTCAATTTCATAATAGAGACGATGAAGCTGCTGGTTTGTGAAAGTACTTCTAGAATCAGTTCAATAGGTTTTAGTTCAATAGGCAATTCATGTGTAGTTTGTTCAAATTCTTCTGAGAATTTGCAGGGATAGTCCAGGGTACACCTGGAGACCTCAGTCTGGTGACTTGAACTTCCCCTGACAAAGTTTAAGCAGATCTGAGATAAAACAAGATCAGGCCCAAAGCTTCTTTTATGTTCTCTAGCAAGCTGATAGCATCTTGACAGCAGACATCAAAGCAGGGGCCTTCCCGGAAGAAGAATGGGCAGTGCATATTGTAGCTTTGAAGCTAAACTTCTATTTCTTATGTACACACAGATAAACTAGTTGCATTGATTAGCATAAGGCAATTGCCCATTCAAACGGTTCATAGGTAGTTTACTACAAACAAAGAGAATTAAAGACAATTATATTATTATATCACAAGTTTCATTTAAATGTTAATATCCCCTTTTGATCTCTGAATCAATTGAATATATAATGAAACGTTACAGATAGGAACCGAAGTTTAGCATTTACAAGCTAATTAGATCACATTGTTAAACTTCTAAGATATAGGTAAACACAGACAAATACAATTCGTATCTGGTTCTAATTCTCTAACAATAGAACAGGTTTACATTTTAAGAAGTCTGGCCTATTTAACAAGGCTTTGTTAACTATCTTCAAGGAATGGTCCTGTTTACCATTTCAATACTTTTCTAATATGACCTTAAAGGTTGATTTTGGGTCACTCACCCTGCTGGTTGCTTAACCCTTGCTGGCTCATTGTCACAATAAGGTTCTGTAAATCACTTTTCATTTCATTTTACGAAATCTTACTTCTGATTTCTAGCAGCGCAGCATGCTTTTACTGGTTTAGCAACAACTCCCTTATAAACATCAGGGACTTGTTTATTGACTAAGAGCATCTACAAATTTGTTCCTTACTTAACACATTTCAAACCCATCATTTTAATCTGCCCAGCTCAAAAATGCTAATTGAATCAATTCTTCAGGAAGAAAGATGAGATGCAGTCCATCTCCTTCTAGCCTCATTGATTTAATTATCCCCAAACTGTTCAAGCATTGTGGTTGTCATGTCTCACCTTGACTATCTCTAGTAAAGTGAAACCTCAACCTTCCTTGAAAACTGATTCCATTCCCTAGCTCTTGTGCTAGTTATGATGTTTTCTTAATATTGATCCTAAAACATCCCTGCTGGGGGTTCAGTTCATGAAATAGTCTTTACTATTATAAAGATGGATTGATGTGTCTAGAATGTCATGTATAAAATAGAGTGAAATTGATTTATTTCTTGACCTGATCTAGAATGTAACTTTTTAATTCAAGTTCTCTTTGTCCTGGTATCTTTGGCAATAACTAGAGCAGAGAACAAAATGAAACCAAAACTATCTCTCTTAATTTACAGAACTGGACTATTCTGAACATCAGGAAGATGTGGATTCCCGTGGTTCACTTACTGCTACTGATGATCATTCCCAGGCTCCATTTATTGTTACGGGTGTGGTGCTTGCAGCTGTTATTTTCACTCTTGTTGGGTTTCTTTTGAAAAATAAACTGAGGAGACCGATTCCATACGAGATAATGTGAGACACTAAAGATACCAGCATCAGGGCATTTACGTAATGATTCAGTTTCTAGCATTTGCACTAAATAACTTTTATACAACAAATCATGCTTTAAAGAGAAAGTATGAAAACCTTACTGTAATGAGACTACACTCTGAGTTCAGGTAAATTCAGGCTAGAGATGGGCCTGAGGTTAAAACCCACCTCCAAAATAACAGGAGAAGCTAGGAGAAGTTTGAATCTAGATCCCAACTCTCTAACTTGCTGCCATTTCCATGGACTTGAACCCCAGCCCCATATCCGGCCTACCAGCTCCCTCCCCTCAATCTAGAACCAGACTTTGCAGCTCAGGACTATCTCAAGTCTAGATAGGCCAAAAACTGGGTTCAATTCCTGTTTCACCACAAACATCTTGTGTGATCATGGGCGAGTCACACAGTCTCTCTGGGCTCAGTTACCCATCTGTAAAATGGAGATAACAGCATAGGGTTGTTGTAAGGAGAAATATATATAAGATTGTGAGATGGACAGATATTACAGGGAATTGAGCCATACAAGTACTTAAGATAGACAGAGAGTACTTTGTTTTGACAACTTTATACATAATAAAGGGCAGTCTGACATTATTTTTATGTTTACCTTTTGCGCCTACCTAGCACATTCCAGTCACTTCTGATCATCAAGATATTTAGATTCTAATGCATGTTTTCTTCCTCATAATCTTCTTCTCAAGACCAGTGTTTCTAACATCTCAAATAGTCTGACATGGAAATTATGGTGAGGAGTCAAATGTAATAGATTGTGCAAATTTGTAGGATAGGATGATTTCCAGTCTAAATGAATCTCTTATGTAAACGCAGCAATTTAAAATTAGAGAAGTGTTTACAAAGCAATATTTCTATTTGTGTACTTGCAAATATAATGTCTCTGCATCTCCAAATTACTGCTTTGCAATATGAAGAATGTGGTTTGTGATAAAGAAACTTTGGCAAAACCAATTTGTGTTGGGGTTTTTTTTCCATTTCCAAAACATGGTTGGTACAATCAATAAGTGTATTTATTTATTTTTATAAGAAAATGAGATTTGTCTCGGCCTTTAAACAGTACAGAATATTATAGAGAAACTGGTTTTAAGAAGCCAGATATTTCAATGGGATCAGTCACTGATATTTGACTCAAATTCTCTCTTCAATTTTTCTAATATCTTAGTGTGTGTTTTTTTAAACCTGGGAAATGTCAAGATTGCAGTGGAGAACAGAGGAGACTGCAAAGGAGCCAGTTGCAGCTCCCTGGGGCTCACCCTAAAGATGCCAGCTGATTATGGCCCCCAAAGAGCCATCCACCAGCCAAGGATTACTGGAGCATATTGGTGCTCTGACCATGCCTACCCCTATCCCCTCTATGTCACCAAATGCAAGGGTTGCAGGGACACTAGCATAGGAGCTAGACCCACACTGACAGAATCATCAGCTAGGGAGATCCAGCAGCTTTCCAGCTCCATGGTATGCCCAAAGCTGAGGAGATTTTCTGACCCAATATTTTTTGTAAGTTATTTCTGTGTAGAGTAGTTGGCCTGAGAACACACCCCATGCAGATGGATTCTAGATGCACTTTAAAATGTCCCGTGCACTTGCAATCCTATTTCCTGTAGGCCCAAGCACATGCTCTTTCCCTTACTTTCATTGACTCTAATGAGCCATATGTATATTTTATTAAAGTCCAATACATGTCAGAATGTAACCACTATGCCCTTCAGCTAGTATATTTTTCTAAGTGATTTTCTGTATACGGGCAAAGAAATTATTGTAAAAAAGACCTGAATGGAATCTGTTCCTGAATATCTGGTCAATTATGTTATTTTCAAACATTTCAGATGACTTTTTCTATGAAACCCAAGGTTTCTGCGGATGTCAGTTTTTTCAAATTCCCTCCCCCACCCCTAAATTAACTGATTTGAACTTCCTTTATCAGGAACGGTACTTCATATTGATCGGGGGTTGGGGGGGTGTTCTGAGAAAATTGTGTGTGTGTGAAATGGACCGTGTATTATTGGTGGGAGAAAAGATCTCTTAATCTTTGTGGACTAGGTAAGATAAAAGGAATAGAATGGAATAAGACTGAGGAATGGTCAGTGGGTCTCACACTGCTCTATATAGCTTTTGTTGGTGGTCATGTAGATCTGGCTAGTCATATGGTGCTGGCTATTTTCCTTGTTTCTAGGTACTAACCTGCATTAAAGGAAGCTGAAAATACATTACTGTCCTAATATTACTTTTTCACGTGAGCAATTGCTTTAGTTGCCACAGGGAAGTTATGTATTAATAGATGGGGCAGGGATCTGGTCTGCATCATAGCAAATGGGAAAGGAAGTGGTCCTGTAGGTAGTCTTCATGATGATAAGGTTTGAGAACCCCAGGACTGAAGAAAGATGATAACAGTACTTCACAGGGTTGAGTTCACATGGAAAACTGTGAGGTGCTCAGGTACTGCAGTAATGGAATTTATCTACATACCTGTAACAGGGGAAGCTCCACTCCTGTCCTGCAATCCTTAACAAGCTAGAGGCATACAAGATTGCAAACACCTCAATGTAATTTGTAAACATTACCACCATTGTATTAATCCTGTGCAACAGCTCTGTCTACAGCATTTTTCAGATGTCAGCCATTTCTCAAGGGGGAAGACATCTCACCCTCCTGAAATCCCTTTTCCCTCAGCTCTGCTAGCCTTACCCCCTGTGCACTGCCTTCCTGTACTATTTAACTGCTCCTCCCAGCTGATTGGACAATTAGCTCCTTAGCATTCCCAGTCCCATTAGGTAATTAAGTACTGTATTCCTCAATCGAGTCTTCTCTGGGGGGAACTAATCAGAGCTTAAGTGACCAGAGTGCTGGGACAGATGTTGGCTCTCAGCACTCTGTCATTGTACCTTACACAGATACATATACTTACTAGTGATGCTTCTCTATCTGCTGCCAATTCCCTCCCAGAGAAGATCTAAGGATGAAGCCTTATTAGTGAATTGGAACAACTGAACTTCACCAAACACCTGTGCTGGCACAATCATGCTCTTAACTTTTCTATTTCCTTTTTTAGAAAATGTTGATAATTATTATTTCATATTTTTTCTTTTGAGATTTGTTTCAAGTTGGGTTCACTTCTTTCTTCTGCATTTTAAATTACTCATGCCTCACAGTCTCCTTGAGAAGGACTCTCTTTATCTCAGTCTATCTTTTCTCCATTCATGCTTTGCCTCTGGCTTATCTTTCATTTTGATAAGATTATCTGAGTTCTATAATGTTTCTAGTTCTCCTCCGTTCCTGGCCCCTGCAATGCTTGCCTCTTGCTTTCCTTTTTTGGATTAATTATTCCACAGCATTGTTCATCCACATATGTATTCTGTTTGCATTATTGATTGAAGGGGACACATGGAAACCTTAGTTATGAACTGAGCTGATTGGAGAACATTTGTCAAATAGTTCATTGCACAAATTTCTTGTTATTTTAATAGTGAATTATTAAACATACTTTCCTCCATTATTTGTTCTGCTGTAATCATGAGTGCGTCACGGGATGTGGGGCACTCTCTGCTGGGTGTCTGATAATATGTTTTTCTAGTGAGATACATATACAAGACTACATTGATGATTATAATGATTTGTACAATCAGTAGCTGCCATGACCTAATAAACAGGAGCTGTGAACAGTTCTTACTTTACTTAGAATTATTTCACCTCGGAATAATAATTTCAAAAATGCTTAAATCCCATTTTCAAAAATAACTTAATTTCAGATTTTTTAGGTTATTGGGGACTTTCGGATGCAGATTGGTGCCTACTGGTATTTTCAAAAGCACCGTGGTGCCTAACTTCCATTGATTTCAATGTTGTTTGCAATGCTGTTGCAGCTGTATTGGTCCCAGAATATGAGAGACACCAGGTGGATGAGGTAATATCTTTTAATAGACCAACTTTTGTTGATGGAAGGAACAAACCTTCCCTTCCATCAACAGAGGATATTATTTCACCCATATTGGCGCGTTGATTTCAATGGAAATTAGGGAGTTGTTCTGAAGGTCTCAGTAGTTGCCTTGATGCATCTTTAGTTGCCTAAATATTTTTGAAAACCTGGCCTGATAAGGGGTCTCATTGAGAATCAATGGTCCTAGGCCCCTTAAGTAATTTAGACACTTTTAAAAAAAATACCCTCGGTGCTTACAGAATAGTTTATACACATCTTCTCTGTATACACAGTTCTCTACTGGACAATACAAGCTCATATAAAGACTGTCATTTTATCAATGGAAAATGATATGCACAAGCCCTATTATCTCAAGTGGAGGTTCCCAAATACACTGGTTCAATAAAACAAGTTTATTAACTATCAAAAGAAAGATTTTAAGTGATTACAAGTAATGCATAAAAGTCAGGATTGGTTACAAAGAAAATAAAAAGTAAAACACAAACTAACATCTAACTTATCAAGCTAAAAGAATTCAAAGCAAAGGTCTTTCTCACCACATGCTTTTTGCAGTCTCCTGACTAGATGTCCTCTAGCCAGATCCACTCCTTCAGTTCAGTGTTCTTTCAGGTGTTTTTGTTGCCTTGAGCAGAGGGAAGAAGAGAAGAGGTATGTGTGGTAGTTGTTTTCTATTCTTATACCTTTCTCCCATCCTTGAGAATGATTTCCAGCTGGGGTTCAAGTGACAGCAAGTTTGTGGGACAGCAAACCCCCTCTGTGCCTTTGCCAATATATAAATGCCTTGCTCACACCTGCCAAAGAATGACCACTTAACTAGGTGATAGCTCATCTGATTATGTTGTGACTGAGGCATCAATTTGCCTATTGTTTCTGGGGAACTGGTCTGTGCCTGCTTTTCTAAACTTAGTAATGCTATACAGTAGAATCTTATAACTTTACATACAGTGTTATCACACTTATTTTACACTAGAACCTCAGAGTTATGAACACCTCGGGAATTGAGGTTGTTCATAACTCTGAAATGTTTGTAACTGTACAAAA